CGAGGTCGTGGTTCAATGACCTCCCGTGGGACCCCCTGGGGCCACGGCGCGGCTCTCGGGGCTGGGCCGTGGCCACGTTTCGTCGCCGCTTCGCTTCCCACAGCTCCTAAGCAGTGCCTCGTGTGTGGATCTGCCCTGGGGGTTACAACTCGGTGGGAAGAAAATAAATCCGTTTTAGTTCATTATTTATCTCGCATTGCTTGCACATCAAACGTTTATTCTAAACGTAATTTAAACGTCCAAACGGGTAATGGATGTGGAGAGCTGCCAAGTTTTGAATACAGTAAACCAATTTAACATTGAAATGTACCAGCACACCTGCCTAGATCGCGTGTGGAACTAAGGTGCTCTTCTCGTTCGCAGTTCACCTCAGGAGTTTGGCTTTGTAACACAAATGACAATTGTGTTATTACTCTTTGGATGTGGTATTGTTGCCATTCGTGGGGAGAGCCTCACCGAGTCTCAGCACATTCATTCTGGAGGCTCCTGACAAGTTTTCTCGCTGCTGTGTGTGATCACAATTGGAATAATGTTAGATTTATTTTCAGCACTGGGATGTTCTTTGGCCATTGTGTTGTGGGTTTTTTTTTAGCTATGAGTGAGGAATCCAGAAAACCCGGAGGAATCCCATGCTGGACGAGGGGTGAAGATGCAAACTGCACGCAGAAAGATGTCCGGTTCGGGAATCAAACCCAGGCCCTTCTTTGCTGCGAGACACGCATGTTACCACTGCATCGCAGCTCTTTAAATGAATGCATGCATTATTGCGGCTGGCAGGGGAATCGCAGAAACCGCTGTCACATCTCACGATCTGCACGCTCACGTGGATCTGGAAACTTTGCGGAGTTCCCACAATCTGAGCCACGCACGGCACCTAATCGATGCCTGCTGGAGGCTCTCCTAGGAGCGCCTCCAGCCGGGTGACCGTGCGTCTGTGCTCCCTGGCACGCAGAGCCACGCACGGCACCTAATCGATGCCTGCTGGAGGCTCTCCTAGGAGCGCCTTCAGCCGGGTGACCGTGCGTCTGTGCTCCCTGGCACGCAGAGCCACGCACGGCACCTAATCGATGCCTGCTGGAGGCTCTCCTAGGAGCGCCTTCAGCCGGGTGACCGTGCGTCTGTGCTCCCTGGCACGCAGAGCCACGCACGGCGCGCACGGGTTTAAATCATTACACAGCATCAACACAAGCCTCGTGTCCAGACGCCGCACGAGAAAGGTGGATGGGAACTCGAGTCGGTTTCAGGAGAGGCAGGTGAGATGTGTTCCTACGACCGACTATATCTGATCTCGTCATGCCTCGCAAAGCTCAGCAAGCTCCAGCCTGGCTAGCCCTTGGATGGGAGACTGCCTGGTGTTGTTGATTTGGACTACGAGGTGGCTGGGAAACTGAAGCGCAGCGATGGATTATTGTAAGCAGTGTGACTTGGTTTGAAAACGAAGGGAAGTGGTTATTATGCAAACTTAAACTCACTTTCGCCCCGATGAACTGGACCGGATGTATTAATCACGAAGTTGTTTATTTTGTATTCCTTGAAGTCACCTTGGATTAGTGAGGCTGTCACTGGAGTTGTAGAGCGGCGCACTGCGCGCTCCGCGTGGGATGATGAGTGCGGTTGGCGCTGCGTGAGTCTGGAGGGGACGGAGCCCCCCACAGGAGGGGACGGAGCCCCCCACAGGAGGGGATGGAGCCCTCACAGGGCGCGTTTGTGGCTTCACGGTCAAGCACTGCAGGCATGTTTGCATTTGTCTTAAAGCGAGACGTTTGAGGAGAAAAGACCCCATGAATGTGGAATCCATGAAAAGTTTACAACAAGTTTACAACGCCGTTTCCATTGCGGCGCGTGTCCGCGATGCTGTGAGAACAAGGGCGAGTCGACCCGAGGTGGACTGGTGCAGACCACAGCCGAGCGGAGATCGCGTGGATCGGGGGTGCGGGGCCCGGAGGAGGGGGCCCCCTCCCCAAGATAACTCTCGAAAGCAGCATCATCATCATCATTGTCATCATCGTCATCATCGTCATCATCATCGTCGTCATCATCATCGTCATCATCATCGTCATCATCGTCATCATCATCATTGTCATCATCATCATCGTCATCAATCATCATCGTCATCATCGTCATCATCATCGTCGTCATCATCGTCATCAACGTCATCATCATCATCATCGTCATCATCGTCATCGTCATCATCGTCATCATCATCGTCATCATCATTGTCATCATCGTCATCATCATTGTCATCATCGTCATCATCATTGTCATCATCGTCATCATCATCGTCATCGTTACTGGCTCGCTGCCCACAGCACTGTGGAAGCAGGGAGGGTTGGCGGATCGCACACATTTCATGAAACTCCCTTCCCGTGGCCATCTTGGTGTCACAATACCCTCGCTTGCCAGGAGAAGACAGCACAGCAAATGTGCTCCTCACCTGTTCCATCTGTATTAGATTGAGCGTTTCCCCCTCGCTCGTGCGGGGTTTCTCCGGGTGCTCCGGTTTCCTCCCACGTATAAGCACTCATTCGTTGGCCGACCATGCTTCAATACATAGAGGAGCGCAGAGCTTGGGCAATTGTTGGCGTTGGATCACCGCGTGGCTGCCTTCTTCCTCGTTTGTGGTTCCTGCTCGCGCCTCTGAGTTATCTTCTCTCTACGAGAACTCGCATTACGAGTTGAAATCATTAATATTCATCTTCTTGGTTCTTTCGGTAAAGTCACGTAGAAGGGAAGTAATAAAATAATATTTAATATCTTCTTGGTTCTTTCGGTAAAGTCACGTAGAAGAGAAGTAATACAATAATATTTTATTACTTCCCTTCTTTCGGTAAAGTCACGTAGAAGGGAAGTAATAAAAGATTAATCCCTGCAGTCACGAAAGCTTTAAATCGAAATCATTAATATTGCTTCACTCAAAACCTTCCGATTGCAGGCGCTCCAAGTGAGCACGCCACGCCTCGTCTGGGCACGCGTCACGGACACTCCACACAGCAGCAGCCTGGGCGGCTAATTGAGTTCTGTGACTGATGCTAATTTTAACTGCGTTCCCAATGGGCTGCGATACACAAATGATTCCTTCCATCTGGGATTGGAGTCGCTGATTCTCGAACGGAGGGTGGGGTGCCAGGAGACGGCATTCCACGTTCTCATGACGAGGCCGAGTACAACCTTAATTAAATACAACAGTCACGGCCACCTCTACCCCAGACAAACTCACCAGGCGGTGCTCACCTCCCCACCCTAGGGGCTGATTGTGATGATGCTGCTGCTGCTGATGATAATGGTTACAATTAGAATGCAGCGTCCTGCATACACGTGCAGAGAGTGTGACCACTGCATGTGATGGATTGCAGCAATTGGCTGTGATTACACACAGAGACACGCGTGTGTGTGCGCGTACACCTCGCTGGAGACGCGCACACGCGCGCGCATTGGGAGCGGTGGCGCAATGGTTAGCGCACTGAGCTGCGTACTCGGCGACCTGCGTTCGAATCCCGCACAGATTTGTCACTATTCTGGCTGCCGCCTGATGATGCTGGTTGCAATTCCTGGGGAAACGTTGTACTCAGATTGTAAATGTTGTGGATTTGCACTCCAACACACCGGTTAGTGCTGTACTAATTAGCTGTGTCGGTGGTGGCGGGTTTAACGACACATTTATATTACGCGATCGAACCCCCAAAAAACCTGTATTATGGATATACTTAATTTGGAGCTTTCGTGACTGCAGGAATTATTCTTTGGTTCTTTCGGTTAAGTCACATCGTGACTTAACCGAAAGAACCAAAGAATATGGATATACTGTATGTGCTATGAAGGACCATTTCCCAAAACGTCGCCCATTGTGCATGTTTTGTTTAAGACGGCCGTGTTGAGTCGTTGCTTTAATTCAGAGGCGGCGCGCCTGGTGTGGTTTGGGTTTTATTTAAACTTGGCCTGGGATCACAGGGAGCCGTCCCCCCTGTGTGCCGGCTTTAAACACCCGCTGCTGGTTAGCGCAAGTGTCAAGGTCAAGGGGCCGACATGTGATGCATGTTTCGTGTTATTACTTGGCGAGACGGAAGAGACGAGTGACTAATGTATCATTCAGAATGCCGTGCCACGCCACTCGGTGACGTTTTAGAAAGGAAACAATGATGGTTTATATTTCCACCTAAAAGGATAATTGGGCAGCTAAAACGACAGATTCTGCTTCTTGTCTCCTTCCAATTGAAGCCACAACAGCGCGACTTCCCATTCTACTCTTGCGCACGATGGTAGCGGCAGCGACATGTCGAGGTGCTGACGCCGATGGCCACGACGAGAAGGGGGATCTCGTCCTGTCGATCGGGTTCTGGCCACGGACAGGTCCTTCTTTCGGACTTTAGCGCTTCTGATCGCATCTCGCCAGGACGACGGCATCAGTTGTGTTGACGGTGACACGAGAAGGGCCTCCCGTCTCTATTTACATCTCTCGTGCATGTATTGTGCGACTCCTCGTCTAAACGGTAGCACAGTGTTGCAATCACTCACGGGATCCACTGTGCATTATTACTCCCAAGGCTGCTGCAGCTGCTGCTGCAGCTGCTGCAGCTGCTGCTGCAGCTGCTGCAGCTGCTGCAGCTGCTGCAGCTGCTGCAGCTGCTGCAGCTGCTGCAGCTGCTGCTGCAGCTGCTGCAGCTGCTGCAGCTGCTGCAGCTGCTGCAGCTGCTGCAGCTGCTGCAGCTGCTGCCGCTACCGCTGCCGCTGCTACTGCTGCTGCTGCCGCCGCTGCTGCTGCTACTGCTGCTGCTGCTACGTGGAAGATTCTCAAATGGATTTTGTTGTCGAGGCCGAGCGGCAGCTCCGCTCTCCCCGAGACGGCGAGTGTGCGTCTCACCGCAACGCGTCGCTCTCAAGCAATCAATCAACCAACCAACCCAACGCAGTCGTTGGCTGCGCACGTTGAATGTTGTACCGGGTCATCGCGTGTTGAACATTGAGCGGGGGTTTACATCGCTATAGCAACGTACGTGGCAGAGTTTAATTTCATAAAATAGAAAAAAAACAACAAGACATATGTACAGACGTAAGATTCAAATCACACGATGCCGTTCCACGTGTGCATTTGTAAACAAGACTGCACATGCTCGTCTCGAGTTACGCACACTCCGACTGCGATGCGGAGAGGAGAGGGAGCACGAGTCGCGTCGCTGCGGCCGCCGTCGGCCACTGAGACGCGGCCGCCGCCGCAGACGACACCACGAGGACGGCGTCCCGGGGCAGGGACGGGGAGCAGGGCATGGACAGAGAGGTGATGGTGATGATGATGATAATATTATGCTTATAACTACCGTCATCATTCCGCATTCATCCGAGCAAAAGGTTATTTCCTTACCGAACAGGGTTACGCCGTATTATTGAACAAATGAATACAGATATATCTGTCAATGCTTCCACTAAATATATCACTAAATATGATTAACTGTTAGCGACGCTTGGCTTGTGATGTTGCTGGGAGAACGCGTTCCACGTGTGTGTGCGCGTTCCCGGGCACCACACCTCCTCCTCTCTGCTTCGCCTCAACCACAGGAACCAGAGCTCGTGTTGGCTGCCGCGTCGGGAAATCGTGAACACATTCGTGATGATGTCCTCGGTGTTGATCTCACGTCAATGTACTGTATAAGTACAGCATACACATCATTATCCGTTAGCGAATATGAACATAATCGTATTCATCCGTGGTGAACATAACTCGTATTCGGGATCATTAGTCAGACCACGTGTATGATCAATTCGGTTGTGTTGCAATGAGTGCCAAGTTACAACAACAAAGATCCCCCGAATCGCCTTAACAGGCTGTATGAAGGAGCGAGTGCTGTTAGCGAGCACCTATGAAGTCGGGCACGGTACACGAGGGGGTGGGTGGCCAGCACCACGACCAGCCGCCTCTGTCTCCCGAGTGGCGATGTTGACACACCGCACCAAGTTACAACAAACCCACAACGTGCCAGCCCCGACGTCCGCTGCTGCTGCTGCGAGCGCTCGTGTGAGATGCGAACTGAAACATTCCATTGGTGCCAGCTGGAGACCACGAGGAGCATGCATCGTCGGTGTTGGCGTGGTGTTAACAACAATGCCTTCGATCAACACACGCGGCTGCCGCGCCTGCACGAGTGGGACGTGTGCCTGTACACACTCTCGAGATCTAATCGCGGGATGAGCTCTCACGCCGAGCTAATTGCCGGCTCGCAGATGCAATGCGCGGGAATACATTCGGGCAGTTCAGAGTGTAAGGTCCTCAGCTCTTAGCAGAGTGAATTAAGGAGATACATTCATACTAAAGGTTATGAATGTACTGACCGCCTCTCGCACATTGTAGGCTTCGCAACGTCATTGCGTAAAAGAGGTGCGAATGAAAACCAAACACCGTACCGCTGTTCAATTATCATGTAATGGTCGTTAGTTGTTGTTGTTTAAGACAGCATTGCACGGTTTGCGCTGTGCTCTGTAAATGCGAGTCCAGTGATGGTCCATTAGAGCCGAGACGAGCGAGCTAATCGAGGTCACCACTCTGTGCGCACCGCCGCTGAGTGACCCGGGGCCGGCAGCCCGGGGCTGGGCCACAGCCCCGGGCTGGGCCACAGCCCCGGGCTGGGCCACAGCCCCGGGCTGGGCCACAGCCCCGACGCCGGCGTCTCCCCTCGGGCACGAGGCGCGCCGCTCGACAGGCGGCGCCATCGGCGTCGTCGGCGTGGAGACGATAACCACCTCGATTAGCGGACAATACTGCCTCCTTCACAGATCTGTCCTTCCAGATAAACACATGCGAGTACATTTGACACATCCCATCAGCCCCACGGCCTTCTGGGAGTGCATCGCTTCAGCAGCATTGGCTCGACGCAAGTAAAAACCGTGGACCGGTTTCGGCATTCGCTGTCTGACCAGCAGATGTGGCCTTGCGAGAACCGATGCTGGTTAACTGCCAGATGCGGTGATAGACAAGGCCCCCTCTCGCTAGGATTTGTGAAAAACACGCAGCACAATCATTCTCCACATCATTCAACTCGTCGTGGAGAAGGAAGTGGAGAGCGAAGTGGAGAATAAAGTGATTGAATGAAGTAGAGAATTAAGTGGAGAATTACGCGATCGGCCAAAACACTGAGAGACCAGTTCCACAATTGCGTCTCGATGCGTGGCCCCACGGGATGAGTTTGAGCGTGAACTGAAACGTCGTCGTGGACAGACGCTGCGGAATCTCAGACGCGGCTCGAAAAGAGCAACTGAGTCTCAAAACAAGGGACGTCACACGACAACCACGGAATAAACACGCTACAAAAGTGCCTCGGCCCTAATTGATACAGCATTGATACACGATTGATTTATTGCATGCTCTTGTTCTTGTCCGTATTTCCCACGTGTGATTTACATTTTTGGCTTCAAATGAGACACGAGGAGGAAGACTGACGACACGTTGGGTCTGGATCACACGGGGATGTCGCCCGAGCCTTTGGCCAATATTCACGCCTCTGGCTTCGTCAGAACGAAGGCAAATTGGTTCTGTCGAGGATTCGATGATCACTGACAACAGCGTGACCCTGCGTTTCTGGGGCGAACGAGGAAGCTGACCTTGCCCTCGCTTGAGGACGTGACTCGGGATGAGCGCGCATCGCGAAACCCGAGCACGTCGGAAAAGGACGTCCACGGAAGTGAAATGGCCCACATCCGACTCCCCACGCCGACCGTTGCAAATCCGTACACGGTCAAGGCTGACGAATGCCCCTCGTTAAGGGACACCGTGTCGTGAAGGATCCCCATAGCGAGTGACGCCAAGTGCGCGTGGCATCAGAGGACTGAGGCTCTTCAATCAGCCGATGTCACTCGGCGGGCGATGGTGCAGATGGAAACTTAAATCGGCCCAATCAGGCGCGCTGTGGGCTCCTCGCGGTGCTCACCACAGGGGACGCTCTAAACGACAACAAGAACAACAACAGCAGCAGCAACAATAAGAGCCGCTTGAAGATGGCGTGAGGAAATCCCAATTCTCGTGACATTTCCATCGAACTGGGACCGGAATGGCTCTCGGGATGGAAGCGAGGGGCCGCGAGTTCTCGCCACCGGCGTCTGCAGGGCGCCGGTTGGCAGCCGCGGCGCTCGGGACCCCCTCGCTCGGTGGCTGCGTTCACAGCGAGGGGCCGACACCTGCGATGGACGCAGCACTATGGGCTGCGGTTGGTAACTTAGAAACAAATTGAGGTACAAACTGTATTTAATACGCTCCAAAGAAACAAAAGTTGATATAGCAAAAGAAAAAATAAATGTTACACACTTTAACCATTCCAAATGTAAAAAATATTTTAAAAATAGTTTTAAAAGTCCATTCAATGCAAACTAAAGAAAATTCACAAACTAAAAGTGGTGACAATTTAAAAATAGGTTGTAAACTTCGTATGTATTAATGATTAACACGAATGAACTACAAATCATAAGAATACTGTACTTTTGAAACAAATTAATAGTGCAAATTTAAAACAACTCAATTAACTGGAATCAATTCCAGACGAATAGCTGGAAGACATCTGCTAAAACACATAAACCGCTGCCTCCCTGTCTACAATACAGTCTGTGCACGTGGTCTATAGAGTGCTAGACCTACGTCATGCTCTGGGGTTAGCCGATTGTAAGTCAACATTAACGACTGCCCCTCGTTCCCCTGGTTCACTCGTTGGGAAGAGTGTGCTCTCTGTACAGCTTCCATTCCTTTACTTCACCGCGCAAGAGGCCACCGACAACAGCTGTCATTGCCCCCATCGCCAGTCTGTCTATGGGATGAACCCTGTTGAGATTCGGCAGATGAATAACCTCATTGTGACGTCAGTATCGCGGCCTTAGTGAACGTGCCAAGTCCCTCGTGTGAGGTCCGAGCTCTTGCCTCGTGCGGTCGGCGCGGCGCGACACGGTGGCGTGGTGGTGGCGTGGTGGTGTGGTGGTGGCGTGGTGGTGGTGGCGTGGTGGTGGCGTGGTGGTGGTGGTGTGGTGGTGGTGGCGTGGTGGTGGTGGCGTGGTGGTGGTGGCGTGGTGGTGTGGTGGTGGCGTGGTGGTGTGGTGGTGGCGTGGTGGTGGCGTGGTGGTGGTGGCGTGGTGGTGGCGTGGTGGTGGTGGCGTGGTGGTGGCGTGGTGGTGGCGTGGTGGTGGCGTGGTGGTGGCGTGGTGGTGGTGGCGTGGTGGTGGCGTGGTGGTGGTGGCGTGGTGGTGGTGGCGTGGTGGTGGTGGCGTGGTGGTGGTGGCGTGGTGGGGCGTCTCTGCACGAGCCAGGGAAGCCACCCGGGAGCCGCCGGGGTGCTCTCTCTCTCTTCATCTCACGGCGCCACGCGAGGGGCGAGCTGAGCGATACAAAACGTGTCCCTCGGATCCCGGATGTCACGAAATCCAGGGAATTCCACCTACAATTCCGTTCTATTCCAAACCACGTTACGTTGAAATGAAGGTCAAAACATAACGCGCGCGCTCGCTTTCCTATCGCTCTCGCAGATGTATTCCATGTTTGATCTAGAGATTCGCACCACTATTGAGTCCATCACATTCACACCGCCCCAGGTTAAAGAGAGGCGCGTGTGTCACGGGTAATCCACTCGTGGGCGCAGACGGTGACCATTGGCCAGGCTGCGGACAGTCGAGAAAAAACTAAAAAGCGGTCAACTCCGGTGAAAGCGCCGATCACCCCAAAGCGCGCCTCTGCCTTCGAGCGGGAGACACACGTCGCGGCTGTCGGCCTGCGCGAGACGCGAGCCACGCAGGCCACGCAGGCCACGCAGGCCACGCAGGACACGCAGGCCACGCAGGCCACGCAGGCCACGCAGGACACGCAGGCCACGCAGGCCACGCAGGACACGCAGGCCACGCAGGACACGCAGGCCACGCAGGACACGCAGGACACGGCGCGTCTCGCTGACTCTGCACGCGGCCATCCTTGGCGATGAACTTAACTGCAACGTTCTAAACCCCCTCGCTATTTCATTGTTTGCATAAAAAGCATTAAAATGTTAAAACCGATTCCTGAATTATTTTGATCGCAATTCAGCCGTCACTGCTTAATACTTTTTTTTCTCTTCTTTTTGTAAATAAGTTGGTGCGCGCGGCTTCAATGCCGTCGTCACCGTCACCGCTCAGTTGGCTCCAGTTAACCGTGATGTGGCACGGGGCACGCGCAGTTTAAAACGACGGGAGCCATCACCGCACTCATTTCTACGAACTTTGTTCTCACACCGTAAAGTGGAAACCCTCCGTCGTTTAGTTTTTCCCAAATAATTTCTGAAACTCGTGTTTGTCACAAAACGATTCGCTCCTTCGCTAAATAACCTGTGATTTGATACTGTCCTCAAACTCCCACTGGCAGATAAAATAAATAAAATGATTCAATAAAAAAAACTTCATGCACAAAAGAGCATTACTCTGTACAGTGATATCCCATGGCAGCCTGGACCCTGCCATGAAAACATTGAATTTCCAAAGCTGAATCAAGGTGCCCTCGTACCCATTCGAGAAGGGAGGCGACACGTTGACCTACTGTGGCTCGGGCTCCATCGCCGCCCATCCCATCGCGCATCGCCCCTCTCCTAGCGCAGGGCCTGCGTGGGTCGCTTATGGCCACACACATCACTCGTCGTCCGCTTGCGTGCATGCGGAGAGAGGAACTCGCCAACGCACACTGCAGAACCAGCGTGGTGAGTTATGGGAGACCTTCATCCAGCAGCGGATTGGCAAGGGGCTGTACAGCACTTTTGTGTTATTATTTTAACGAGCTGCTGTTACAGAGCAATGCCATTCGGCCCTTGTTGTTGTCGTTGCTGTTGTTGTTCACTACGGCATGGCCCTGTCACGTATCACTGTGCCTACATTGTGTTGGTGGTAGTGAAGACATTGGCCACTTAATGTTATCAACAGAGCACCGATAAAACCTTTGCTTTGTTCAAAATGGCAATCTCGGGGTCGTGTTCGTTTGGCATCGCTCCGGGGCTCCTTTGCGTTCTGCGCTCGTTTCCGTGTCAACGGCGTCTCACCCGGCGCATTCATCGGTAGTCAAGTGTCCGTTAGCCTGAAGGTGGATAACGATGAACCATTTACTGAAAGTGGATATTCTAGATTGTGTCTGGTTTTCGCTGCGTGGCAGCGTGATTCTGTGCATCTCGCATTACTGACATCGCGTGTGATCGCCGGTGGTTTACGCAGGTCTCAATATTGTCACGTTTATACAAATTTGTTAAACATCACCACAAAACGTGGAATCATAAGAGGGGACAATGTAAAAAATTGTAATAAAAATGAAATAGAGAACTTATTCAAGTAAATAAACATAAAATGTTTGAAACAGTTGGTCAAATAAACTTCCTACATCGCAAAATGTGAATTATATATATAAAATAACAATGAATAATATGCTATGCCTGGACATGTAACTGTAGTAAATTTAAGAAAATATAACTTTGTCGATTTTTGACGTGACAATTGCCGAGCCAAGGGCAGAAGATGAACACTGGGACCGCTGGGCCGGATCGGGACTCAACTGCTCCCCATGCAAGTCACCGCCACTCCGGGTCCCCCAAATGTTGACAAACCGCACTGACGCACAGCCCAACGTGTGACTGCTCGATGGAACTTAACAAGTCTTCCGGAAGCTTGTATCTTACACATTTCGTTTAACGAGGAAAAGAAACAAATGAGTCAGATTTTTTTCCAAGTTCTAAACAGAATGCTAACTAACGGTGGGCACAGGAGCCGTCCTACAAAGTTGTGCAAAATATGGGGAACCCCGTAGAGCTCTGCAAAGCGACATTCTCCATGGCGCGCACGGACTCCCTCGCGACACTGGACGGCGAGCCGGCCCCACGAGGCGCTGGCGCGTCACACCCACTCGGTCATGGAGTGCTTGTAGTGAGCCACGTGGCTCTGCACGCCTTTCTGCTTGAGCTGCAGCAGCGTGCAGGCCAGAGCCAGCACGCAGATGACGAAGATGCAGGGGATGACGATCGCGATCACGTTGATCGTGCTCGTGGACTCGTCCATCGTGCCCACAATGTCCACGTCGGCGTTGGAGTGGGGCATGCCCCCGGGGCGCAGGCGGTGGGTCGTGCCGTCGCAGCCCAGCCAGTCCCTCAGGATGGACTTGGGGTAGCCGGGCTCCACCGCCAGACGGTGGTTGTTGAATTTCCAGTAGTCCTTGCCCTTGTAGAAGTACGTGTAGGCTACGGGTATACAAGACACACGCGACGTGTCAGAACGTGACCACGGAAGTTGTTCGGCATCATTTAGCATGAATATTATTATTCAGATTTTTTACTCAGGAAAGCCTCACCGGGTCTCAACACCATTTTTCAGGAGGGTCCTTCCACCTTTCCAAGATATCTCACTTGGCCTTTCTCTAATTATTCGTATTAATGTTCTTGTTATCTACCCTGTTACTATCCATACTACATTAATGTCACTCATCTTGTGCCTATCATTAATTGCCCTGCTTTCACACCCATACAGGAGAACACACCTGTATCAGTAACACCGCAGTATTCTAATCTTATTTTTCAATGCACAAAACACAAATATAAGCAAAACAAAGACACAAGTACAAACATAATACACACAGCGCATGCGTACAGTTCCTTACGCTCCACACCTAATTACCCTGAGAGCCAAGGCCGCCATCAATCAGCTCAACACAAGAAGTACACATTGGTCTAAGTGCAGCGGAGATGGAATATAGATTCTGAGACATTTATAGATTGCACGTTTAATGGCCAAGTCACGTGACAAATCCAATCCGAGATAATGCCACCTCCACGATGGATGGAATCCCTGGCATGTATAAGGAAGTCTGGCCCCGTGTTTGGTTTGACGTGCGTTTAATAACGAGTGCATGACAAGAGATTGCACGGGAAAAAAGCACAAATCCGGTTATTCATTCATTCGTTATTACATTTGTAACACGTATGAATTGAACTTAAAAGGAAAATCAGAGGAGCGGGAAATTTTATTTGAGAGAAAGTCTAAATATTCTAACAAAAGATCGACTCTGACGATGACGTTGGGCGCAGCGATAGAGGAGGGAGTTAATTCTAGACGAGCGGAGTTGTGACAGAGTAAGCGACGTTCACTGCATCTGGTTCGGGGGACGGGGCTGGGTAAGGAGGAGGAGGGTGGGGGAGGAGTCACTCGGGGCAGATCGGAGGTTGCGAGGTGGAACATTCTGATGAGGCTCAATTGGCCGGTTGACCCCGAGCATTGAGCCAGAGCGTTGACTCAGAGCATGGCCCATAGCGTTGACTCAGAACGTGACCTAGAGTGTGACCCAGAGTGAGCCCTGCGCTTTGTAACAGAGGCCGGCGAGTCTGTGCAGGATGCGTTGTTGAATGGGAAGCCGGAGAGGGAGATTTGAGAAGCTCTCTGGTCGTGCCGAGTGTCGAGCACTGTGCGGGAGGACGCGATTTTGGAGCCACTTGAGATTTTGAGATAAATATGATTACGCTTCTTTGGGAACATCATCAGCTTGCTCTTCTGAACATATACAACGACTGGCACCTGCATGAAGTTTAATCTGTGAGCGAGTTCAACCAGAACCCGCGTCATTATAATGCACGTTAATAGGAGTGGAGTTACACTCCCCACGTGTGTTTGGAACAGCGTGGACAGAGTCGGAGTGCGGCCTGCTGGAAGGCTCCATTCCGTTGTTGTACGGTTCATACGGTAACCAGTAATGAATTAGACAACACGGTGGCCTACTGTTGCGAATGATGTTAGGGGATCTTTAATGTACACTGTGAGTGAAGTAGGCGGTGAGTTTCATGGTTAATGCACACCACCGCAGTACTAATTGGGTTGGCTGCTGGATTAGAACCGCGATCCTCTGCAACAAGCGGCGAACACGCCGCTAGCGCTGGTCCACAGGGCCGCTTGTCCCTGGTCATCGGGAGCGTTCGTGATGGTGGCGGTGCGGAGTCTGAGTCGACGCAACAGTCTCATCAGTCACAGCGTCTCACTACTCAAGCACGTGACAGGGCAGCACTCATCGCCACCAGCGGCCCCGAGCTAGTGGTGGAAGTTCCACATTCCGATGGCAGTGGCCACAGAGGTTAGCCTTTGTGGATTCCTCACGAAGTGTTTTATTTTATTAAAGACACGAGCCAGAGCAGTGTCAGCCACTGTGGCCACGCAACAACAGACGAGGAGGAGGAGGAGGAGCAGCAACACGACACGAACTCTCTCTGCTGAAGCCCTCTTGTCGTGGCTAGCAGACCTCAACATTGGCATATAGCTCACGAACAAATTGCTGCCTAGAGCAAGAATAACATTTTATCTCCGCAGCCAAATCCAAAAGTAGAATGTCACAAAAAATAAAATCCATGTATATCCGACATGCACATCACAGTCGTCAAACGCTCCTGTCATGTCATCATGGGCAGAGTTGAAAGCAAGAAATAGTTTTCAGGTGAAAACTAAAGAGTCAGTGGCCTGGATTCCTTGCACGATGCCTCGTGGCAATCTATCTGTTATATATACACATCACGGTTACTGAAACGTGCATTTGACGATAAGAAATCTCGGCATTTGACAATACACAAACATTTCTACACTTCAACTAATAAGAGGGGACCATCATGCAGTTCGTCAGAAGCTGCAATGCACAAGGCGTCGTGTGCACATTGCTGTGTGTCGTTTGAAACCCGTGGTTTTGCAGCCTGCATTGCTTTTTCTGTTGTGATGAAGGGTTTTCTCGTCATTTAGAGTTTTAATTCGAGTCTCAAGTTCACTTTGCATAACCAGGTGAGACCTCTCAAGAGGTCAAAATTAAAAGCGTGACCTGGGCCACCAACATTACAAAAGCAAACCAGATAAAGTACAGTAATTAAGCAAATATAAATCAAGACAAAAAAACAAACGTGTCACATCAACAATTTTACATATTGCACAAACATAAATTAATGTTCATGGTTTTCTTGTGGCCTGAGTCAGCATGGGCAGAATATATTTAGACTAATCACTGCACAATTCCAAAATTAAGTTACAGAAACATGATTGTACTAATATGTAAACAGGCAAGGGTACATGATGTCAAATGATCGCTTCACGATGAATGAACGCCATCACAGTGTCCGTGTAACACTTGTCTAGGCGTTTTGTGTTCACACATGACACCAATAATGCAATGGTGTGAAACGGCGCATTCGTGTTGCTACTCACCTCCTTCATTCCCAACAAAGGCACCCTTAGGGGCCTCTGGGATTCCCTTCCAAATGTTAATGGACTTGGGGTAGTCTATGTCGACAGTCCGCTTGTCTTCATTAAACCTCCAGTATCTGTTCACAAGCAGGCACATCCACCGGTCCCGTGTAACGCATCACGGCCAGACCACGAACAGTGACAGATTCGATTGCTCTCCTAAAAGGGATTGTGGTGGTGGTGAAGTCGCGCCACCCCAAGACGGACCGAGGCAGGGCTGAAAGAAGAAGGCGCCGGTCTTAGCGGGAAAGGTGCCGAGATGGGCCCAGTTAGCAAGGGGTGGGGCCTCATGCGTTAAGGGGCGGGGCATAGACAGGAAGAAGCGGGGCCTAAAGAGGAAGGAGGCGCAGCCTAAGAAGAGGAAGGGCCTGTGGCGGTTGGACTTGCCTGTTGATTTACGGCAATGGAAGTGCAGAATTAAACACATACAGCAGCAGGCAGCAGCAGCAGCACAGCTTTAGTGCTGCAGATACAGTCATGGGCTGACTGGTAATAAATATCCATTTGGAATTTAGAAGGCACAATCATTCACAGACGATTATAGACTGCCAGTAGGGAGCGATGTTGTTACATGAAACCCAAATTTGTCAAATTTTTTAAAAATTACCTTCAAGTCACTCAATTAGGTATTAAAGATAGCAGCAATCCTCACGTGTTAGTCGCCGATGTATATATAAGCCTCGAAATCCAATTAAGGAATGGCCATCACCACGTCTGCCAGCAGCAACCTGCTGGACGATAGACGTGGGCGACTCCACGAGCCGCCGCACACACCGGGGCCTCGCACGACAGCGCAATGGACCGCTCCTCCTCCTACCGGTCTCCCTTGAAGAAGAACGTCTTGCTGGTGGGGTCCCACCAGAGGACGGTGTCGATGCGGTCCTGCGGCAGCCCCTTGCCCAGCTCCGAGAGCGTGCGCGGGTAGCCGGGCTCCGGCCCAGCCTCGTTAAACACCCAGAACTTGTTGCCTGCAGCGGCACGGGGCGCACAGTTGGAGACCGGCGCCGAGCCAAGATTATTGGTGTCTATATTTTTATCACCGTTGCTCTCATTACACACCTGGTTTTAATAATAGGGCACGTGCGATCACAGCCCGGGGGTATGCGAACGAGTACCAAGTCTGGAATATATAAACTTAACCAAACTATTTGTATTTTACCAAGTAAGGCCCACTGCGTGAAATAGCTCTTTTTCAGAAGCGATCTGGCCACAAACGATAGTTGAACGATATGGCTTATTACGTGGAAATTTCTTGGAGTCAAAAAATCTAAACGATTCTAAATGTGGAGGGAAAAACCGGAGGACCCGGAAAAAAAATCCAAGCGAGGATTTGGAGAACACACAAACTCAAATATACAACAGGCGTCAGGGTCGGAATCAAACCAACGACCTCATGTACACCAGGCGAGGTAGTTAACATCTCGCCACCGTGGCGCCCCCGGCAATAACACCAGGTGCTAGAGAAGTCACCAGCCGGAATAATCCAGACTCAACCTGGGTTATTCCCGCTGGAGAGGCCACACGGAGCTGAGCAGTTCTGTTACGAGGATGACCTCAGCTCAAGGCCATTGGCAGTGGCGGCGGTGATCGGAGATCGCAGGGAGGGAACGTGCAACCTAGGGGAGCAATAACGAACATTCCTTACGCGAAACACGTGGCGGTGAGTGCCACACACGGGAGCACCGTCACCTTTGAAGAAGGCGAGTTTCCCATCGGGGCGCTCGTAGGCGGCGTCGATCTTGGAGGGCAGTCCGCGCCAGTACTGACCAATGAGCATCGGGGAGCCCTCCACCACGCGGTTGTTGCGCACCTGCCAGAACCACTGGTCCTGCACCGCGTCACAGCAGCAGCGGCGGCAGCAACAACAACAATCCACTCGCAGATACAATCAACCGTGCAGCGCACACAGCTGAATGTAGATTCACAAGTTTATCTTTGTGCAGAAGCTTGGCCATGTCCAACAAAAAAAGAATGCAACCCAGTCACTGAGAGTCACTGAGAGTCACTGAGAGTCACTGATAGTAATAATCATTTCAACCTGTAACGTGTTGATACCACCGAGCACGTGGGTTTAACTCCGAGCGAGCGAGTGCGCGAGGGAAGGTGGTGACCTCCAGATTTCTGTTTTATCACGAGCAGCACGCACGATCCATCACCGTCGTCACCATCGACCATGGTCAATCTACTGCTGGATGAAGGCCTCCCCATGCCGGCTGCATCCCTCACAATCCTGGGACGACGCGGTCCCAGGTGGCCGCTCGCACCTCCGACACGCGGCGCGCTGCACAACTCAAGTGCGATCGTTGTGGGCGGGCGGGAGGGCCGGCGAGCGGGCGGGCGAGACGCTCACCTTGAACACGAACATTTCTCCGCGCAGCACGGTGACCGTGTCGAAGCCGCCCTCGCAAATGCTGGGCAGGGCCCCGGGGAGGCCTGGCCGCTCGTCCAGGGGGTGCTTGGGGGGCCGCGGCCGCTTGTCGGGCCTGCGGGTGCGCGACGGCGGCTCGGGCCGCTGTGGAGGGGGCAGCGACGTCTGCTTCGTCGGGTCGGGCTCCTTGGCTGGAGGCCCTACCACGCACGGGCGCGGGCACAGAGGCGAGTGGGGCAATGAGGTCACCCGGCCACTGCTACCGTAGCGTCGGGATCGCGACGGTTCGTAACGGCACCGGCTATCTGCAACTCTCTCCCATCGCACAGGCAGCAGCAGCAGCAGCAGCAGCATCCAAGCACCATCATCGTCATCATCATCATCCACCTTAAAGCAGCAACTCTGACTCGTTCAGGCTCTCACCCGTTCAGGATCTCACCCATTCAGGATCTCATACAAGGAACTTTGAAGTCTGGCTCTGCGCCTCCGAGTTCTCGATCAAAGATTTTGTCCGATTTGCGACATAAGTGGTTAGGCACTAGTAGGATAGAGTGGCTAACCATGCGGAAGACAGAGTGGCTTGTTGGGCAGAATAGCTAAGCAGGTGTTGGGTGGAGTGGCTAAGCAGGTGTTGGTGGAGTGGCTAAGTGTACTCTACGTAGTAGTCAACAGAGCGGTCATCTGCCATGTGATCTGCAAGACCGTTGCCATGTGTAGGATGCGGGAGGGCCGATTGCCGAGACAGCTATTGGAGTGGTCTCCAAGAGTTCGGAAACAAAGGAGAAGAGAAGAACTAAGAGCATATGATGACAGACTGTCAGGGCAGATCTTTGGGTCTATCTGTAAGTGAGACCAAATGCCAGTCTCTATGTCAGACTATGTATGGGTCTCTGCGTGGGTCTATGGATCTCTCTGTGTGAGTCTATGGTTCTCTCTGTGTGAGTCTATGGTTCTCTCTGTGTGAGTCTATGGTTCTCTCTGTGTGAGTCTATGGGTTTCTGTGTGACTTTATATGGATCTCTGTGTGGTGAGTCTATGGGTGTCTCTGTGAGTAGACTGTGTGTAGACTAGCCATAGCTTCAGCCGCACCAACCTTACCATAATAATAAAATAAGTATAACCCGTAAAAACAAAGTTTTTCACTATAAATCCTTTATATGTGTAAAGTAGTAACTCGGCGGGAGACGTCTTCACGGGTAGCACACTCTTTATTTTCACCAACTTGTAGTTACACGGATGACTAACACCCACTTCGTTACACGGGTGACTAACACCCACTTAGCTACTCGGGTGACTCACACCCACTCAGCTACACGGGTGACTAACACCCACTTAGCTACTCGGGTGACTCACACCCACTCAGCTACACGGGTGACTAACACCCACTTCGTTGCACGGGTGACTGACACCCACTTAGCTACTCGGGTGACTCACACCCACTCAGCTACACGGGTGACTAACACCCACTCAGCTACACGGGTGACAGACACCCACTCAGCTATACTGACACGGGCTCTTACGCCCCGTAGCCTTCCGGGACACACCCAGCCGGGGGTGCCCGTCTCGGCTCTGGGTACCACCGTCCCGACCCACACGGGCGTCGGACTACGGGTCCCCCAGTCTCGGCTCCGAGCCACACAGGGCCCCGGTCCTCACAAGGACACGGCGGGACTAGGGGTCTCGGGCCACTACCTCCTCCACCCCGTCTTCGGTCTTCAACTGGTTAACACTGACCACGAGTGCTCTCGCGCGTCTCCCTTTATACCCCTCCTGCGGACGTCGCTGAGAGCACCCACTTATCTGACCAATCACTGCGCACTCGCTACGATCCTCTTTTCCCAGCTTGTGTGAGCGCGCCTTACCACCGGCGCGCGCGTCCATGCCACGCCCACATCGCGTGCCCAACCCCGCGCCCCGTGATCCATCACTGTCGGCGCACGTCAATACCACCACTACATCACCCCCTACCACATAGCTCGCAGCCGACCCGGCTGCTAATAAAATATACAACACCCCTTCACCCCTATGTGTGCTCCGTAACATAACAACAAAACCCTAACAACACAACATGAACACCGCAATCCGCAAAACCCAGCAACCGCCCCACCCACAACAAGAACAATATGCACAATCCGGCGAGTGGCAACGATACTGTGTATGCGGAAAGAATAACAATAAAAAAAAATTTCTTTATTCATTTTCTCTTCTTTTCTCTCCGACTCATGCAGCGTCCCAATGTGTCCGAGCGTCCCTTGAACGGGACATTACCCCGGCAGAGGGGAAAGCCGGCAACGAGGTCGGGCTTTAACAAAAAAAGAAAAAACATTTTTTTTTTTCATGAAAAGTGTTGCGTCCTTGCCCGAGTCCGCCTTGCCGGACCGTCGTACGGCACAGGACGCAGTTGGCCATCCGGCGGCGCCGGCAGTTCAGGAAGGCATGGGCCAGGCATCGGGGCTCCGCGTGAGCCGCGGGGTTCCGGTTCCCGACGGTCAACAGCCGTCAGGTCCGAGACACCTGGGGGTGGGTCAGGTGGAGACACGTGAGGATCAGCCTGCGACACATCCCTCCCCGAGTCGACGGTCACATCACACGCTCGGTCGTCACGGCACAACCCGGGGTCACGCGGCGCCGCGTAGGGTTTCAGTCGGGAGGGGTGCACGTACCAACGGCGTTTTCCCCATTTAATCTGTATACTCTGGGGTCGTGCAACCCGCACAATTTCCACCGGTCCCCTCCATGGTCTCAACAGTTTGGGGGACGTAGCCAACGGTGCGTGTGGACAATGCAGCCAGGCCTTATCGCCCGGTTCCCAATTGTGCGTATGCACCTTCCGTTCATGCAATCGCTCGTTCGCGATCTGCCGAGAGCGTGAATTCAATCTCGCAGCCTCACGCGCCTCAGCCAATTTGGCGATGTTAAACTTAATATGGTCTGCCAATTTAGATTTTGCACGTGGCTGTGAAATCCCCAGTTGGACGTCCATGGCCGGATCAGCCTCCCGCCCATACATCAGAAAAAATGGAGAAAACCCCGTCGCCGCATGGGGTGCCATCCGATAGGCCGCTAGCACCCCCGGTACCTGTAAGTCCCAATCCACCTGGTCGTCGCATACCTGTTGGCACAGCATAGACGTAATCGTCCTGTTCAGACGTTCAACCATACCGTCAGTCTGCGGGTGGTACGGGGAGGTACGTACTTTCTTTGTACCCAACAGGTCGCACACCTCGCGCAACAAAACACTCGAAAAGTTTTTCCCCTGATCCGTCAGCAAGCGTTCGGGGGCGCCTTTGTCCAAAACGTAACCTTGGACAAAGGCGTCCGCCACTGCCGCAGCCGACTGGTTGGCGAGTGGCCACGCCATGGGCCAGCGGGTGAAGTACTCTACGCCAACCAGCAGGAACTTATTTCCCCGAGGTGTAGTGGGAAAGGGCCCCAAGATGTCTAGCGCGACCAATTCGTTCGTGCGCGAAACTTGAATGGATTGCAGCGGTGGATTAGCCGCTATTGGTGGCGGTTTTCTTTTAGCGCACCCTACACACCCCTTAAGAATGTTCGCCACGTCGTTGCCCATCCCCGGCCAATAGTAGTCTCGCTGAATGAGGGCGAGCGTTTTGTGAAACCCCAGATGCACGAGTCGTTCATGGGCAGCCAGGACGACCTTACCCCGTACAGCAACCGGCACCACAAGCATGTGACGCCGGGACATGGAGTCCCACTTCATCAAGAGGCCCTGTCTGCACACCCAGGAACCGACCCGCGTTTCCCCGCCCTCGGGAACGTCAACCTTCCGACGTAGCGCGAGTAGGGAGCTGTCGGCCATTTGCAGACGGCCCCACTCGATGAGAGGCAATGCTAACAGCGAGTCCCTCCCCGTGGGGGCGTCGACCCCCGTAGTATCCGTGGCGGCTAGCACCACTTCCGCGGGGACAGCGACAGAGGGTTTACATCGCGCCGATCCTAACTGACATGCGCATTCCGTACGCGTCGGCAACCGTGACAATGCTTCCGCATTCGAGTGGCGCAACCCCTTGCGGTAAATCGTCGTGAATTGGTAGTCCTGAAGGACCTCCAACCATCGGGACAATTGGCCGGATGGCTGCGCCACCCGCATAGCGTATTGGAGAGCCGCATGGTCCGTGCGAACCGTAAAGTGACGGCCATACAGATACGGCCTGAATTGCTGTATAAAAAACACAATCGCCAGCAATTCACGCCGTGTCACGCAGTAGCGTTGTTCCGCGGGGGACAGAACCCTGCTACCGTAGGCGACCACCCGTTCGACCCCCCCGACCACCTGTGAGAGCACTCCCCCGATACCCGTGTTACTGGCATCCGTGTCGAGCACAAACGGTTGCGTGAAATCGGGGTAACACAAGGGGGGAGCCTGCACCAAGGCGTCACGAAGGGAGCAGAACGCGGCCTCCTCCTTCGGCCCCCAGTGAAACCGCACCCCTTTAGCCGTCAAAGCGTGCAGGGGCCTGGCTATGGTGGCAAACTGCTTGACAAAACGACGGTAATAGGAGGCAAATCCTATGAAGCTGCGGACTTCAGTAACAGAGGTCGGTGTTGGCCATGAGCCGACGCATTGCGTCTTAGCAGGGTCCGTCGAGATCCCCGAACGGCTAACGATATGGCCCAAATACCTGACCGATTCCCGAAGCAGAAAACATTTAGCCGGTTTAAACTTTAGCTTCGCGGAACGCATCCTGAGAAACACTGCTCTCAGTCGCTGGAGGTGCTCCTCAAAAGTTCGGCTGAAAACGATGATATCATCGAGGTAAATCAAACAGGTGTCCCATTGGAGGCCTGACAAAACCAATTCCATGAGCCTCTGGAACGTGGCAGGAGCGGAATGTAAACCCATGGGCAATCGGTTGAACTCAAATAGGCCTCCCGGTGTCCGGAAAGCGGTTTTTGGTTTTGATTTCGTCATCGAGGGGCAATTGCCAAAATCCCGAAAGCAAATCGAGCGTCGAAAAAAACTGTGCTCCTGCCAAGGCATCCAGCGACTCATCCATCCTGGGGAGCGGATACGCATCGGCCATTGATATTTTGTTTAGGCGGCGGAAATCGACACAGAACCGCAGGGATCCATCCTGTTTTTTAACCAAGACGATAGGAGCACCCCACGGACTGGAAGAGGGCGCAATGATGTCGGCCGCCAACATGTCATTTACTGCCGACTGCACATGCTCCTTCTCGGCTGGACTGAGCCGGAAGGGATTCTGTCGAATAGGGGCCGCGTCCCCAGTCTCTATGTGGTGGCGCAACAGGTCTGTGCAGCCAATGTCGTACTTGTGCCTGCTAAACACGTCAGCGAACTCGAGCAGCAAGCCCCTCAATGCACCCAACTGCACACTGGACAAGGTACTGGACCCGGCACACAACGAGTCCAACCACTCCGTCCCCTCCTCACTTTGGGGATGCGTATCGACATTTGAATCGGCGTGAGCAACGAGCTGTTCCTCGACGGGTAGCGGCGCGGCGTGAGCCAGCACCGTTCCCTGCGTAATCACGGCCGGCCGCGACCCCGTATTCAGGACCACAACGAACGGCTCACTGTCCCCCCTCACCATGGTCTGGGCCACCGCTAAGTCGAGGTCCCCTTTAGCCCTGTTAGACGGCCCCAATAGAACTCCCTGTGCCCCCGCATCCGCTCCAAGGGGTTTTCTCAACCGAAGGGGTACCAACATTTGCGATCCCGGGGGCACCCGTACAGTCCGGGTTGCCAGCGCTTGCACCGTCGCACAAGCCATGCGTATCTTATTTGGACTCTTCAAAAACTCAACCCGCCGACCCGACGGGAGCTCAATGCAGGCCTGGTCTATGAGAATTTTGATGGGCATTTTAGACAGAAAGTCCGTGCCTAGTAAACAAGGAACGGCCAATGATGATGATACAAAAATAGGACCCGCCAATTTAATGTCGCCAATACAAATATTCGCCCGAATCTGGCCGATGATTCCCAAAGATCCCCCGTTCGCCGCGTAAAATGGTACGTCCACCGGCAGAAGGGGTCGACATTGGACGGGAAGAATATTATAAATAAGGTCCGAAATAATAGTGGCCGACGCACCCGTGTCCACGAGCACCCGGACCTCAACCCCGTCAATGTACCCCGTTACCACGGACGACCCGGCCGACGCAGCCACAATCCTGTGGGCCAATTCGGACCACTCGACTGCCTTCGGGCCGTACGCGGACCCCTCTCGCCGAACCGAACCCCCGGTGCCCATACACGGTCCCCCCACCGCTAAGCGGCGACCCGACTGTGCCGTGCGTGTGGACCGAACGTGTGAGGTGCCGCGACTTGCCGGGTTCAGCTGGGATGTCTTGAGGCCCTGGTCGTCGTCCGGACGTGGTCCCGCGGTGCGTTGACGTGGGGCCCGGCACCCGGACGCGACGTGGCCCCGAAGGCCGCAGTTGTAGCAGACGACGAGGGACGTCGTAGGTTTCGGTTGCTCCAGCTTGCGGGAGGAGCGGGTGGGCGAACGACCTCCCGTTCTCCACTCCCCCGGCCTTGAACCAGCGAAGGCCTCCTCCCGAGGCACAGCAGGCTGAGGGCCGACGATCGTGGCGGCCGGTGCCCCGTTCCCCACCGATGCGCAGACGACCGTCGGCTTTCGCTTTAGGACTTCGTAAGCGTGAATACTTGTGGCAATCCCCAGAGAGCAAATGTCCATCTCGTCCGCCGTATTAATGGGAACTCCCAATCCGTGAGCCAACGCCAACAGCTGCTCCGTCACCATGGCGTCCTTCCCCTCCTTGTCCATGCGGGGAAAAGCTGAGTCTGCCAGGGCGAGCAGCGCCGTGCGATAGGCGAGCGTTGTTTCTCCAACCACCTTCCGCCGATCGTAGAACTGGTGGCGACAGGTCGAGGGTGGCCCGAACACCTTGGCCATCAGGTGTAGCGCGGCCTGGAGCGTTGAGCGGGACGACCTCGGGGCCGATGTGAAGGCTGCAAGCGCGTCGTCGTCGAGCATCGCTGGCAGCGCGCGCAGGGCAGTGGTGTCGGACCACCCCGACATTTCTTGATGCGCGACGAACCGTCGCTGGAAGGCTCCCCAGTCGCCCCCGTCCGCCTTGAACACCGACAGCGCGGGCAATCGTTGCTGGAGGACTCGATCGCCGTCGTCGTCGTTGGAACGATTTTCCCGCGCGCCGCTGTGGTTGTAGAAGATGTCGGCTCCGTCTGCAGGCGCATAATGGAGATCTCCGGCGCGCGCCGATGACGCGGGCTGCGCTGTGTGGAGATCTCTGGCCACGTGGTGTCCGCGCTTCCCGCCAAGCGGTGGCGGGCCCTCAAAAATGGCGCCAACTCCAAAACTTTTGGCGCGAAACGCTGTCTGGCGGGATCCCTCCAGCCGCGCCGCCTCCTCCAACCCCGCAGCCGTCCCTCCGCCCGCTGGAACGGAGATTTCCGCCAAAATCGCAGCGGCGGCGAGCAGCAACTCCGCCAGGCGGGAGTGTGCATCCTGCAGGCTGGTGTCGGAGGCAAGCGGAGCATCGGCCATTTCCGCGAAGTGCTGTATTGGCGGCAACTCCTCGTCCTCTCCTCCCGAGGTTGGTGTCTCCGGTACGCCGTCGTCTCCCCGATCTTGCACGTGGGTACGCGAAGTCTTCCTTGTGTCCATTTTTCTTGAAGACAGGTTTACTTCTGACGCCAGTTGTAAAGTAGTAACTCGGCGGGAGACGTCTTCACGGGTAGCACACTCTTTATTTTCACCAACTTGTAGTTACACGGATGACTAACACCCACTTCGTTACACGGGTGACTAACACCCACTTAGCTACTCGGGTGACTCACACCCACTCAGCTACACGGGTGACTAACACCCACTTAGCTACTCGGGTGACTCACACCCACTCAGCTACACGGGTGACTAACACCCACTTCGTTGCACGGGTGACTGACACCCACTTAGCTACTCGGGTGACTCACACCCACTCAGCTACACGGGTGACTAACACCCACTCAGCTACACGGGTGACAGACACCCACTCAGCTATACTGACACGGGCTCTTACGCCCCGTAGCCTTCCGGGACACACCCAGCCGGGGGTGCCCGTCTCGGCTCTGGGTACCACCGTCCCGACCCACACGGGCGTCGGACTACGGGTCCCCCAGTCTCGGCTCCGAGCCACACAGGGCCCCGGTCCTCACAAGGATGGCGGGACTAGGGGTCTCGGGCCACTACCTCCTCCACCCCGTCTTCGGTCTTCAACTGGTTAACACTGACCACGAGTGCTCTCGCGCGTCTCCCTTTATACCCCTCCTGCGGACGTCGCTGAGAGCACCCACTTATCTGACCAATCACTGCGCACTCGCTACGATCCTCTTTTCCCAGCTTGTGTGAGCGCGCCTTACCACCGGCGCGCGCGTCCATGCCACGCCCACATCGCGTGCCCAACCCCGCGCCCCGTGATCCATCACTGTCGGCGCACGTCAATACCACCACTACATATGCGTGGCAGCGAACTTAATATAAAGGATTTAAAAATATATTCGCCTGTGGAGGACGCGGGGATCGATCCCGCGACCTTTGGCATGGGAAGCGAGGGCGCTACCAACTGCGCTACTCCGCCACGGCCTGTGGAGGGGTTACGCTCTGGGCTCTTACACTGTGACGTTCAGCCAAAGCCATGAATGAGTTCTATTTGAATATATGTAAAATAAATGTTTTTTGCCTAAAAAGTGTTAAATTTTGGGAATTTTTTTTCACGAACATTAATTGTCTCGCACAACGAGTATGTGTGGAAAATGTCAGCTCGATTGGATCACGGGAAGTGGGTTACAAAACGACCGAAAGATTTGCACGGTCGTAAGCAAGCACGCAAGCAAGCACGCAAGCAAGCAAGCAAGCGAACTTAATATAAAGGATTTAAAAAACTCCTATCCAGGGGCCTGCCCTGGCTCTTCCCCCCTCAACCAGTATATATACGGGGTCGGATCTCTTGGAATGTCTCATTTACTTGATACAGCAAGCATGCTGTGATGATTCCACCTGAAGACGGAGGCTTGTGTTGCCTCCGAAACGTCGTGATTTTTATTTTATTTTTATTTTACTTTTATTAATTTTAATTTTAATTTTTTACCTACGTGACTTTACCGAAAAAACCCAAGAATATGAATCCTTGCAGTCACGAAAGCTTCAAATCTAGAATGTCTGTGTGAGTCTATGGGTCTCTGTGTGAGTCTATGCGTCTCTCTGTGTGAGTCTATGGGTCTCTGTGTGTGAGTCTATAGGTTTCTGTGGGAGTCTAAGGACGGATCTTGCAGGTCTCTGCGAGTCGACTGTGCAGCAGCTGCGGGATGTGACGGAGAGCGGAGCGCGTTGGCAGCCACGGTGAGGTGCAACGGCCGCGGCGGCTCCGTGGCCGCGGTGGCGGCCGCGGTGGTGCCGACGCTCACCGTAGATCTGCTGGATGCCCAGGACGTCGTCGTGCGGCAGCTGGAAGTGCACCGTGTCCATGTACTGGTAGAAGGGCGCCATGATGGCATTGGGGTCATTGGAGTGCTCCAACCCGAGCGCGTGGCCCAGCTCGTGCACGGCCACCAGGAAGAGGTCGTTCCCTAGCAACCGCCACCACGACGAGCCATGGGGGCAGCCATGTGCGGTGCAGAGGGATGGGGCACGGAACAAGGACACCAGCAGGGCATTTACGTCACGAATCATGATCTTCAAAGAGAAACGCATTCCATTCCACAAGCCTGACATAATCTTTGGGTCTTTCAGTAAAGTCACGTAGATCGGTTCAAAGAAAATATGAAAAAACTACTACGTTTTGATCGCAACACAAGCGGTCATCATCAGGAAAAGGGGGTTAGCCTCTAAAGGCAAACTGTTGATAGAGGTTTGAAATGGGCGTAGCCCAAGTGTCAGCAGCATGGATTCCTGCAGTCACGAAAGCTTCAAATCAAGATTAAGCACGTTTTCTGTAAAAGACGTAACGGCCTATACTCTTTGGTTCTTTCGGTAAAGTCACGTAGGTATAAAATAAAATAATAAATCACGACGTTTCGGGCGCAACACAAGCGTCCGTCATCAGGTGGGACAACCACAGCAAGAAACAATTGCAATTTAAGAGTCACGAAAACTTCAAATCTAGAAAGTAACAGTCTCCGCATTTCGTGGTTTCAGGATACGATATCAAGTGCCAATGTGACGATCTTAGTAACATCAGTTTATCATAACCTTGCAGTTATATTCACAGAATGGTTCGGATTCGAAAGGGGACTAAATATTTAAGTAAACGTGAAACGGGCGACGGCGGTGCCACCCACCATCGTTGTTTTTGTTTCCGAGCGTCCACGGCTCGTCCGAGTCGAAGTGCGTGTCGCCGCCGATGCCTGGACCGGGGAAGTAGGCGTGGGCGAGGAAGCCGCCCTCCCTGTCGAAGGGGGAGCTGTCCCCGTGGAACCCCGACGCGAAGAAGATCATGATGTCGGCGTCGCGCCGCCCACTGCGGATCTCGTGGTAGGGGATCTCCTCGAAGGCGAGCGGCGTGACGCGCTGCCAAACGTCGAATGCCCGGCGGATCGCCCGCCTCGTGTCTGCCTCGCCCACCTTTGGGGTGGAGTTCTGCAAGCTTCGCGACCCCACGCGCACACGCACGTGCGCGCACACACACATGCACAAAACAACAACAACCGCCATTAGCCATTAAGTGGCGGTGACGTCACCACGGCACTTGTGCCAGGCTATGTGCAGGTTAAGGCCACATGAAGTGTCGAATGCCCGCTGGCAGGTCACGGGGCAAACCCAGGTGCCATGGGTTGACTGACTGAGATGACTGGCTGATGCACCACCTGTGCCCCCTACTGTGCCAACTTGATGTGCTATAGCCACCCGGCACACACACGCACACACGCACACACGCTCGTGGGGTAGGTGCCTACGTATTATTGTTGTGATGTGGTTTGCCCAGGCACGTCGCAGGCGTGAGCCATGTTCCGACGTGCGCCGCACCTGTACATGCCGTGGGTGATGCACCAGTATGTGCCGTACCTGTAGGTGATGCACCTGTAGGTGATGCACCAGTGGGTGATGCACCAGTGGGTGATGCACCAGTATGTGCCGTACCTGTAGGTGATGCACCAGTATGTGCCGTACCTGTAGGTGATGCACCAGTATGTGCCGCACCTGTAAGTGATGCACCAGTATGTGCCGCACCTGTAAGTGATGCACCAGTATGTGCCGCACCTGTAGGTGATGCACCTGTATGTGCAGCACCTGTAGGTGATGCACCAGTGGGTGATGCACCAGTGCGTTGCACCAGTATGTGCCGCACCTGTAGGCGATGCACCAGTATGTGCCGTACCTGTAGGTGATGCACCAGTATATGCCGCACCTGTAGGTGATGCACCTGTAGGTGATGCACCAGTATGTGCCGCACCTGTAAGTGATGCACCTGTAGGTGATGCACCAGTATGTGCCGTACCTGTAGGTGATGCACCAGTGGGTGATGCACCTGTAGGTGATGCACCAGTATGTGCCGCACCTGTAGGTGATGCACCAGTATGTGCCGCACCTGTAGGTGATGCACCAGTATGTGCCGTACCTGTAGGTGATGCGCCAGTATGTGCCGCACCTGTAGGTGATGCACCAGTATGTGCCGCACCTGTAGGTGATGCGCCAGTATGTGCCGCACCTGTAGGTGATGCACCAGTGTGTGCCGCACCTGTAGGTGATGCGCCAGTATGTGCCGCACCTGTAGGTGATGCACCAGTGTGTGCCGCACCTGTAGGTGATGCGCCAGTATGTGCCGCACCTGTAGGTGATGCGCCAGTATGTGCCGCACCTGTAGTTGATGCGCCAGTATGTGCCGCACCTGTAGGTGATGCGCCAGTATGTGCCGCACCTGTGGGTGATGCACCAGTGGGTGATGCACCAGTATGTGCCGCACCTGTAGGTGATGCGCCAGTATGTGCCGCACCTGTAGGTGATGCGCCAGTATGTGCCGCACCTGTGGGTGATGCACCAGTGGGTGATGCACCAGTATGTGCCGCACCTGTAGGTGATGCGCCAGTATGTGCCGCACCTGTAGGTGATGCACCAGTGTGTGCCGCACCTGTAGGTGATGCGCCAGTATGTGCCGCACCTGTAGGTGATGCACCAGTATGTGCCGCACCTGTAGGTGATGCGCCAGTATGTGCCGCACCTGTAGGTGATGCGCCAGTATGTGCCGCACCTGTAGGTGATGCGCCAGTATGTGCCGCACCTGTAGGTGATGCGCCAGTATGTGCCGCACCTGTAGGTGATGCGCCAGTATGTGCCGCACCTGTAGGTGATGCGCCAGTATGTGCCGCACCTGTAGGTGATGCACCAGTGGGTGATGCACCAGTATGTGCCGCACCTGTAGGTGATGCGCTTGTGGTGCCACTTCTGGCCTGTGAGTGCGTAGCGGCGGCGCCGCACACCGGGGCCGTGGTCGAAGCGGTCGGGGACTCCGCAGCGCGGCCTCTTCATCCACCTCCAAAGACAAAGATCCACCGTGTAGCCTTAACAGATTGTTGGGGCAAGTGTTGTTAGCAAGTAGCACCTGTGAAGGCCGGCACAGCACACGACGGGGTGGGTGGCCAGTGCTATGCACAGCCAACTTGTCTCCCTAGTGTCGATGTTTACACGCCACACCAGATACTCATTTGAGGTTGAGTCGACCACCTTCACACACGTAGAGAGATATCACACACGTGTGTAGAGCGATGACACACACGTGTAGAGCGATGACACGTGTTGAGATATCAGAGACAAGACCATCAAACTTGGTCAACACAAGCGTACAGACAAAGATCCCCCGTATAGTCTTAACAGATTGTAGGGGCAAGTGCTGTTAGCGAGCACCTATAAAGGCCGGCACGGCACACGAGGGAGTGGGTGGCCAACACCACGCCCGGTCGTCTTTGTCTCCCTAGTGACGATGTTTACACCGGTTTGGTTGTTTTTTTAGCGACGGGAGGAGTGGAATGCCACGCAGAGCAGCGGGAGAGAAGACAAACTGTGCACGGTCGGGAGTCGAACCCAGGGCCTCGTTGCTGTGAGGCGCGCGTGTTGCCACTGCGTTGCTGCCACCCTGACGCCCAAGGATGAGTCCTTTCGCGTTCAGGTGATCTCCTCTCTCAATTGTATTCAGCCAATTCCAGGGGAAAGAACCCACTTTTAATGCCATCGATCACTTTTAATATTCACACGAGCTTCATTAGTCAAAAGTTTCACTGCGTTTAATCCACGCACGCAACGGAAGCCAACCGTTCTGCCGAACTAACTTTTCTCTCTCTCCTATAAATGCAAGTCTCGAATCAACTTTTGTTTTAAATTGTCCTTGTCACGAGGAAATGAGGTTTGAAATGAATTACTCAAAGGGCGCCATCGTCAGCACCGCTGGGCCGAGACGCGCGAGGTGCCACCGCCTCCTCCTCCTCCACGCCGGGGGGGGGGGCACGGCACGGGCCGGGCCCTCCCTTCTCGCGGACCGCAGCTCTGGAGGCGAGTGTTGTGTTTGTCCTGCGAGTCGAGGACCCGGGAAATAAGAGACAGCCGTCGTATTTGTACTCTTCTCACACTCCGACGCCTGCTGCGTCTCGGCGTTGTATAATTGTGTCGTGACACCGCGGGATGTCACTGCGTGGTGCCGGCCCTGGAGGGTCACGGTGTGTGGTGGAGCGACACCGCGGGCACCACGTGGTGTGGGTGCAGCAGCAGCACCCACACCACGTGGTGTGGGTGCAGCAGCAGCAGCCCTGGAGGGTCACGGCGTGTGGTGGAGCGACACCACGTGGTGTGGGTGCAGCAGCAGCACCCACACCACGTGGTGTGGGTGCAGCAGCAGCCCTGGAGGGTCACGGCGTGTGGTGGAGCGACACCGCGGGCACCACGTGGTGTGGGTGCAGCAGCAGCACCCACACCACGTGGTGTGGGTGCAGCAGCAGCCCTGGAGGGTCACGGCGTGTGGTGGAGCTACACCACGTGGTGTGGGTGCAGCAGCAGCAGCCCTGGAGGGGCTCGGTGAGCGCTTACAGCGCTGGGTGGCACCACGCTCTGCGTGCAGTGCCGACCCCTACAGAACAGGGTGTGGGAGTGTCGGCCAGGGAAATGGGGTTACTAAGGGCCGTGGCGCTCTGGTTGACCCCAGAGGACACGTGACCGGTTAAGTCTACACAGGGGCCCCAGGTGGGGGCTCAGGGTGGTCACGCGAGGCGAGAGGGAGACGCGAGAGGGAGACGGAGCGCTGAGGCCTGCCACCTGCTGGCCGTTTGCCGCATTTGCTCGTGGAAATTTCAACCAAAAGACGAACTTCTTATCCAGCAGTGGAATGACAAAGGGCTGTAAATGATGCGTCATCATCCTTATTGTGATTATTCACCACAGTGGTGCCTCGAGATGGGCTCTCTCACGTGAGCTTTCTCTCCAGCAGCAGTGGCACGAGCAGGCAATTGCGGGGCTGCGCCTCTGACCGCTTGTATCGCGGTGCGAGTGTGGGGCGCCAGGGTTTGACGGCATCGCCGTCTGGCAGAGGAAACGTCCCCCACACGAGGTGGCCGCGCTGCGGAAGCAGGAGCTGATTGGTAATGGACTGGCAGATAAATAAATCACGCTTCGCAGTTCAGCCTCTATAGGGCTCAACGTATACAACATGCATGACAGCTAAAGCTAAGACACACACACGATAACAAATCAAACGAGGGCACGCATTTTAACAAACAAAAAACAGCACACACATTCTAATAATACAAACACGAGATTTTATGTAACAGTACGGTTGATGTTGATGTAAAGCAACAGCTGTAATTTTCATGAAGATGGTTGGAATTCCCTCCTCCCATCATCGTCGTCTCTCCCCCCCCGCCTCCAGCTCTTACAAGAATAACCATGGCTCAATTCAAGGAACGCTTTACCCTCTTATCAATTACACCTTGGACGGTGCTGTTAGCTGCTGGCCGCTTGGCGTTTTGGGACATTGTGCTCAGCAACTGCGTCAAAACGACGCCCATTCATCTCCCCCTCCCCTCGACTCCCGGAGCCGGCTGCTGTGAGTGGATCCTCGGCAAAGCGCAGCGGTAGCCGCGAGACAAACAACAATCCTGGTGGACGCCTGGTGGACGCCTGGTGGACGTCTGGTGGACGTCTGTGCACACACCAGGCGGTCCTGGCGTCGCCGCCCCTTCTATCCATGCACAGCCCCAGTCCCATCGCGCGAGGGCTTGAAGCAGCCCACTTCGCCTTGCCTGCATCGAGGCACTGCGTTTGCAGTGGTGCACAAGCATCAATAAATAATGGCTACATTGATCGTAAAGACCACCTTGCAGTAGAGAATAGGCCGTATTTGACAACAACGCGTGCTATTCGCTCATCACTCTCGGAGAGAGAGGACGACTCGGAGGCAGCAGCAGCCACGCGAAAAGCCGGCGCCAACAACTGCCCAAGCTCTGTGTCCCTCTGCGTATCGTGGTGTTAGCAGTCAATTATTGAGTGTTTACGTTTAGAATACCGGAGCACAAGAAGAAACCCCACACGTGCGAGCGGGAAACACTCTATTCCGTACAGACAGAACAGGTGGAGTCCCAAATTGTTGCTGTTGTGCGACGCAGGGTACGGGACCTCCTGGACGCGACGGCACCTTCTTCAGAGCACGGGGAGACGGCCGAGCTCCCAATACTCCAACTTCACCACCGTTGTGAGGCAGCGTTCACGACGGACGTGTTCTCTTTGTCTGTGCTTGTTTACGATTAGCATTGAAAGGGGTGTGTAAGAAAGCAGCTGTTTTGTTGTGTGCTTACCGTACTGTTTGTGCTGCTTACCATTTTGTCGAGAAATCCCTTTGATAGGCCAGGAAAACAGGAAAGGTATGTCAAAAGGCAGCATGAAAGAAAGTCTTGCAAGAGCCGAGCTGTGTAGGGAACTGTTCGAGTCGGGCAAATCCACGCGCCAATCAGGGATCACCCCGTCGCCGCGTGCACAAGTCGAGCGGCGCGCTGTTTGCAGTTTCATCGGAGAAGCGTAAATTTGGACAAAATAGATTCGTTTAGATTATTTGGAGTTATTTACCACAACAAAATTGGACTTTTATAAACAAAACATTGATTCTCATTGAGGCTTTCCGTAGCCATATAAATGGCATTGCACTTTTTACAGAGAATGCCAGGCAGGCTCTAGATGCCCAGTAGAGTCGTGGCAATCAGAGCAAAAGGTTATTAGTTGCGCTACGCAGAATCGCGAGAAGAGCTACCCAACGGGGGGGGGGGGGGGGGGGCATGCATATTGCAGGACACGGCCACTACTCGATCGAGCCGTGACCTTTAAAAGTCCCGGGGGGGAAAACCTTTTAAAATCACTTGGAGACTTATCATCGAGATGAATATTCGCCGAATGTTCCAAACAATAATGCCGCCGTGTTTGTTTCAAAGGTTCTTGAAAACAAAACCGATCCATAATTTGCGGAGCCCTCTATAAATATAACCGGCACACACAAACACACGTGCGGCTGATGTTGATGTGGAGCAACAGCCAGAATTTTAAATTGAGGTGCTTGATGAGCCAGAAGACTGCGTCAGCAGTAGCGGAGTGGCGAGTCGCCGATGTGACGACGACGCCTCCTGTTTGTGAGTCGGGCACTCGGTCGTCTACGCTCCACGCCTCTGTTCTGGGTGGTGACCGCAGTTGCTGCTCACCGTCCGGAGAGATTTACATGTTTCATTTGTGCATCGTCAAGTATCCGCATCTGGCACACACCGACGCCAATAACCTCAAGTGTTCTAGAGTTGATGAGAATATAGCTCAACTACAGACATTGATTTTTGAACGTTTTTTAGTATTTTGTTTAAAGTGGATGGGGATTAGCCAACTTGGCAGCTGGGGAATTGGCTGCATATTGGCTGTACGGAAATAGTCGCCCCCTTTTCAGACTTATGAGCATCATCAATCACACGGCACAGCATCCTCGCCGGTAAACACTGCGAGAGACGAAAACGAAGACGTGCGAACTGAAGAGCGCGTGGGCGGGTGTCAACGTGAGCGGCTGCAGATGGTGAGAGGCACTCTCTCTCTCTTGGTGGTGATGGAAGTGGTGATGGAGGTGGTGCACGCTCGCGAGAAGGAATATTTCATCCGCAGCGCTAGGACAAGCGGTGTGCAAGTCGCAGTGCAGTTCTCACGAGTGCGGGACTTTACAAAACGTAAACCGGCCCATAAACATCTTTAGACAATTTATCTTGAATCGTCTTTATACGATTTGCCATTGCATATGACCTTTGCTGTATTAAAACCGTGACTATTTACGAACTTAACGGGTTTCAAAGGGCTCTGCATCTCTGGCCCCGTGTGCTGTTGAGAAGGGCCACTGACCGAAGCATCACCGATTGGATGCCGTTCCTTTTAAAAGCCACGGAGTTGGGGGACTTTAACTTTGTACTTTTATTGTTTTAAAGGACAAAGAGGAGGTGCTGATGGTGACGGTGGTGGTGGTGGTGCTGACAGCGACGTTGGTAGTGGTGGTTGCGTCGGTGGTTGCGGTGGTGGCGGCGGTGGCTGTGGCGGTGGTAGTGGCTGTGGTGGTGGCGGTACCCACTCGAGCGTGCCGTGGTCCACGCTGCCCGTCACGTTGATGCCGTAGAAGCGCTGCATGGCCGCCACGGCCTGCGCCATGGCCCGCGGCGAGCGCATTGTGGACATGCGGCCCGCCCCGCCCGGGAGGTAGCCATAGCGCTCCAGCCAGCCCTGCCGCCCACACAGAGACAAAGGTCACGCGCCAAGGTCACGCGCGAAGCCTTCACGTGACTGTTGGGGCTGTCGGCGAGTAGCGCCACCTATGAGGGCCGGCACGACACACGAGGGGGTGGGTGGTCAGCAACGACGCCCGACCGCTTTTGTCTCCCGAGTGGCGGTGCACACAAACCGCACCGGGAACTCATTTGAGGCTGCGTCGACATCGGGGAGACCCAGGACCGGTTCGGATCATCGTCACCGGTGTTGGCCGTGAGCGAGAATCGAACCCGGGTCGCCGGGTTCGTAATCACTTCGCGACACAAAGCGAATAATGCAACTCCCTCTGCTCCGCCTGGCGGAGCTCGGCTTGGCGCGAGAGGAGCCGCGCGCACCCGGCGCCTCTCGGCCCAGAGGGGGTCGCACATCCGAGGGCGACTCTCGCAGAGTCCCAGCGACACGCGGCGGGGTACGCGGGCGAGGAAGCCGCCGCCGCCTCCCTCCGCCTACGCCGTGCTCGCAGCGGCCGGCGCTCACAGTGAGAAAAGATAAAATAAAGTAAAAAAAAATTAAACTTGGATTTGTGCGCATTCGTGCGTGATGTGCGATGTTCGAACGACGCTCCAGGATGTCAGGACGGAGATGGCCGTCGCTTGCCTCGTGCCTCATTCCATCTCCCACGGAGAAGCACGCAGCTTCGGGCAGGCTGCCATTCAACTAACACTCCCAACGGCCAAATAGGCAGCCTTCGATTACATTTGTGTTTGACGGTTCAAGTCGAATCCTCTGCGGAGAAGTCGAGGAGACGCGAGGAGAGAGGCCTCACAATGCCCTCCAGTCACCACCGACCAGATAATGGCCTCCCGCTTCTGCGTCTGACGCATTATGCTGAGTGCTGCACTGTGCATGACACACAGAGCACCCTCCCTACATGCTGCACGTGTAGGGTGCTTGCAGCGCGAATACCGCTCCCCCGTGTGTGCCTTCTCCAGAAATACATTTGCACGAGGAATGACTGAATCCTGCGACACGAGTTCGATTCCCTCCCGCGGCTCACACGAGTGGCGAGCGATGTCTGAAGCGGGGTCCTGGGCGCTCCACCGAACCCCCTCTGCCCATCGTGGTGAAGTGGGTCAAACAACCTCCGTGATCGACATGAGAGTGAGGAGGCCTGAATCCAGCAGTGGACTGATAGAGGGCCGTGAACACACGACTACATGAATATTCAGAAACCAAAACAATGTTGGTGCATTCTACGCGTGTGTAGTGCCACGTCCGCGGAGCACTCTGCAAGCACCGCGACTCCCCCCTGGCCCCCACCCTGAGCACACAGACACACAGCACACACATACACGCAGCACACACATAGACGCAGCACACACACACACACGCAGCGCACACACACACACAGCACACACACACACACGCAACACACACACGCAGCACACACACACACGCAGCACACACACACACGCAGCACATACACACACACGCAGCACACACACACACGCAGCACACACACACACGCAGCACACACACACACACGCAGCACACACACACGCAGCACACACACACACACGCAGCACACACACACACACGCAGCACACACACACACACGCAGCACACACACACACACGCAGCACACACACACACACGCAGCACACACACGCAGCACACACGCAGCACACACACGCAGCGCACACACACACACAAGAGACACACACACGCTGCACACACACACACGCAGCACACACACACGCAGCACACACACACGCTGCACACATACACGCAGCACACACACACACGCAGCACACACACGCAGCACACACGCAGCACACACACACGCGCAGCGCACACACACGCGCAGCGCACACACACACACGCAGCGCACACACACACGCAGCGCACACACACACACGCAGCGCACACACACACGCAGCGCACACACACACGCAGCACACACACACACACACGAAGCACACACGCAGCACACATGCGTAGTGTCCCGGCGGGGGATCGCCTGGCACCACGGGTTTTCACCCGAAGGGCCCCTAGGTGGAAAGTCCCGCGGTTTCCCGGTGCCAGGAGACTGGCCGACCCCCACAGGACAGGTCACATTGCGGTGCCCATAAATTGGCTTAAAATTGTCTGGGCGCACAACGGTTCACCGGGCCAGCCACAATGAGTCACGCACGACATCGGGGAGGGGGCTGGGGTGAAATATTAAGCGAGCCAAGCAGACAATGAGGTCAGGAGATCCCAGCGCCACACACCGAATGCACACGGTGGGCAGGGTGCGTAGTCGCCAGCCGGACACCCTTCCAGAGTAAACGGGCTGAGTCAGGGATTAATGAGTGCAGGTGCACAGGCAATAGGTAGAGAAATAACCGTCACAGGTAGGTGCACGATTGGCTGCGAAGGATGACGTAACCCTGGATTTTTGAATTCAAGGGGCATAAAAAGGGGAGCCGAAAACGGTTCAGCCCAGATCTCATCTTCAACATATTGGTCGCCAAGACCCCCCCCCCCTGCCGTCCTGCCTCCTCGAGCCGCTCGCGGTATCCATGTGACACCAGCGAGTGCCGCCACGAGGCAGTGATAGGCGACGCTTCGTCATCCTCCCTCCGACTCTCACAGCGTCCGTGCGACGTCGTGAGTACGGCTGCGAGGTACGTGGTAGGGCGTGTGAGTGTTTGGGGACTTGGATAGCAGTATGCTAGGCTCTGCTCGCAGAATATTCCCTCCGGGCAGTGCAGGGTTTGCACCCTGAATAAGCGTTAGCACAGAGCATCGGTGCGGTGTCTGTGATTTGTGTGCGGAGCGGCTGCGTGGGCGGACGCGCGGCGAGCGTGAGGGCAGAGCCGCAGCTCGAGCGCCCGTTGAGATAATCGCCTGCAGGGGCGTGTGTTAGGATGTAATCGCCTGCAGGGGTGCGCGTGTTAGGATGTAATCGCCTGCAGGGGTGCGCGTGTTAGGATGTAATCGCCTGCAGGGGCGCGCGTGTTAGGATGTAATCGCCTGCAGGGGCGCGTGTGTTAGGATGTAATCGCCTGCAGGGGCGCACGTGTTAGGATGTAATCGCCTGCAGGGGCGCGCGTGTTCGCACCGCCGCGTGAGCATGAGCGGCGGTGCACGCGGGCGTGTGTGGAGTAACCCCGTGTGGCGGTGAGGCAGCAATTTAGCGATGTCCCTCAGAGAGGGCGCTAGCGCAGGGGGGGGAGATCACCCGGTCGGCGGGGCCTGGCGGGAGCCGATCGACGCGGTGAAGGAGGAGGGAGTGGAGGAGGAGGGAGTGGTGGAGGAGGGAGTGGAGGAGGAGGGAGTGGTGGAGGAGGGAGTGGTGGATGAGGGAGTGGTGGATGAGGGAGTAGTGGGTGAGGGAGTGGTGGAGGAGGGAGTGGAGGAGGAGGAAGTGGAGGAGGAGGGAGTGGTGGATGAGGGAGTGGTAGATGAGGGAGTGGAGGAGGTGGGAGTGGAGGAGGAGGGAGTGGTGGAGGAGGGAGTGGTGGAGGAGGGAGTGGTGGAGGAGGGAGTGGTGGAGGAGGGAGTGGAGGAGGAGGGAGTGGTGGAGGAGGGAGTGGAGGAGGGAGGGGTGGAGGAGGGAGTGGTGGAGGAGGGAGTGGAGGAGGAGGGAGTGGAGGAGGAGGGAGTGGTGGAGGAGGGAGTGGAGGAGGGGGGAGTGGTGGAGGAGGGAGTGGAGGAGGAGGGAGTGGAGTAGGAAGGAGTGGACGGGGCGGACGTCGCCCCCCACCTGCCCGGCGAGGGCGGTGGGGTGGACGCAGGCCTCCACACGTCTACACCACGTGACAATGTGTTTGGTCATGTTGGGTGGTGGAGGAGGAGAGGGGGTTGATGGTGGTGGTGGAAGTGGGGGAGGAGGAGAGGGAGGTGGTGGTAGTGGAATTGGTGGTGGAGGTGGTGCTGTTGGTGGCACAGTACGGGGCACATGTGGTGCCATCAGCCAGTCATCTCAGTCAGTCGACACGTGGCACCTGCTGGGTCTGCCCTGTGACCTCCTGCCGGCGGGCGTTCGACACTTCACGTGGCCTTAACGTGCACCTAGCCTGGCACAAGCGCCGTAGTGACGTCACCGCCACTTAGTGGCGATTGTTGTTGTTGGAGGTAGTGGGGGAGAAGGGGGACCGTCTCGATGCAAATTGGGCATGGCGGATTTTGGTTCGTCACATTCCCTCTCAGAATCAGTTCAGAATTCCCTCACCCAGAACATTTTTAGATTTGTTTTAATTAGCCACTTGGATTCAGTTTCTTTTAATATTTAAAGAGTTAAGTTTAGGGTGATTTTTTTACTCAAAGTAAATATATTTAGAAACATACTCCAGGGCTTATTTTGTTAATTACAGTTTTCAACACCTCTGCCGAGAATTTCGCCAAGAATGACCACACGTGGCCTAATTCACTCGCAACAATTTGAAGCATTGCGTCAATACATCAATGTTAACTTACAGCCCTTTGCCAATGCACTGCAGGATGTGGGCCTCCCTAAGCCACCGTGTCGAGCATGCACGGTTGTATGTCCATACGTCACGACACTGGTCAGCGCGGTTTGGTGAAGAGGAAGAGGGTTTGGCGCAGGGCCAATTCAGACATCACTCGCCACTGATGTCAGTCGCGTTCCGAGAAATGATCTCGGGTCCCCCGGTCCACAGCAGTGGTTGCAAGGCGTTAACCATGCAAGCCAGACGATTGGGGATATGCTCAGGTCGCTGCGCCTCGCAGAGAGAGAGAGAGCTGAGAATGGCGCGTTATGACCGCAAATTGTTCGGATGATCTGAGGGCAAAGCCATTTACGCAGATATTGACTTATCCACATCCTCATCATCCTCTCCCTCTCATCCATTAGGGACAAAGGAGTTTCGTCGCGGTATAAATCACTGCGCATCGGTGAATCTAAACTCAACCGGTGGGATACGCGTAGCGCTCAAATGAAAGACGTCTGTCCCGCGACACGAAGGCGCGATTGGGAATGATGGATATTGAAGGCACGCTGCCCAACA